GGTTTCCCTTTTACAGTTTATTCTCAACAAAGCAGTCAAAATGAACCCTTTAAAACTGTTTAAATCCTTTAGTGACTACCCATTTCTACCATGGCCCACAGGCCCAACAATTTTATGTTGCTGGCATTTAACTCTTGAGGGGAAAAAATTTTGTCTTTATTGTTCACTAAAGTATTCCAAGTACCTAAAAATAACTGATAACATAATAGGGACTCAGTACATATATCTTTGGATTAAATGAATGAGCCTTGGTTATTGATTCATCATTTATTTTTCCATTGCTGGAATGTAAGATACATGATGGAAGGGTCCTTATTGGTCTTGTTTAATGTTGTATTAACAAAACACTCAGAACTACACCTGGTATAGAGTAAATGCTTGACAAGCTCTTGTTGAAGAAATCAGTGAATATCTACTATGAAAAGATTATTGTATCTGCTTATACTATAATAAGTTAATGAATGCATTATGCATACAAACAGTACAGTTTCCATTCATCATTCATAGGCAGCTACCTATGGTGAATGAAGAGTGTTATACAATAAAGCAAAGGATAAACTGTTAATATAAATAGAACTTCAAGGAAAGCAGTGTGTAGGGTTATGGTTGCCCCAGAGTTACAACCATGTAGTGAACTGGAACATATTCAGTATATATCACATTCTTTCTGCAGTTTGCCCTGCCTGTACAAACTCTCTGCTTAACTTCCTCAGGAAAAAGAAAGCAGTTATTTGCAAAACTGCTTACCCCAGGGGCTTTTTTTTTTTTTTGGTTTGTTTACAAAAATGAAAAAAGTCATTTCCGTGTATAAGAGCACTTTGTATTCTTAAAGGAGAGATTCACACTGCCAATCACTTACATAATCTATTTTGTTTTTCATTTGTATTGAAGGGCATTCATACCTCTATATTACTGTGTGCAAATCTAGGGAATCTAAAACTATTCTCTGTGATGGTTTGGATTGTTAATCTCTCCAGGGTTTCCTCAACAATCTCAGAGGCAGTTTCTGGCACCAAAGGGAAAATGGAGAAGTTGAGATGCAATTTTATCTCCCAATTGAACTTGATTAAATGGGGACTGTTCTAATCAAAAGTTTGAATCCCAGGGGAGTGCAATGTTGTTAACGGGTTTGAGAATATTTGAGAAGAACAGGGAGGAAGAGTGCTAAAGTTAAGGCAGAGAGAGAATCAGGCAAGAAAATAATTGTAGTAAAGCTTATTAAGGCATAAAATTAGGTGAACAAATTGCTTCACAGATAGTGTTAAGCTCATTGCTAGACTGGCAAAGGAAGTGGAAGGAAGCTCTTTGAAAACATTATTTTTATTATTTTAATAATTTGCGTAGGAATCGTAGTAGCTGCAATCTGTTACCCAGAAACAATTGCCAGCTGGTGTCATCATGGAGTAACTATAGTAGGCTGAATGTAAATATGTTTTTCCTTTTCACCTGGAGAGCATTCAATTTTAGAAAATTTCTATTTATTTTCACCTGAATGTGAGGTCTGCCCTTGTCGATAAGAAAGCCTGTTTATTGCATGATTTAAGAGCTCTGATTAGTTTCACACCAAGTTCCACAACTGTGATAGGGAGGCCACTCCTGGGACAGTGTTCACACCACCAACATTACCCGTCATTAGAAACGAATACTTGGTTCCATGCCTGAATTAACTGTTTTCATTGCTTGATTCTATGCATTGTTTTCCTTGTGGTTACCCTAGGGAAATGTTGGTGCCTCCTTAGGTATTTTACTGAAAGCAAAAAGAGATCTTCTAGGGTAATGTTTTTTGAAGAGGGTTAAAGGTACACTTACTTATGGAAATATATTTTGTTAGCAACATAGCTGTTATATTTGTTTGTTATTATGCTTTCTTCTGAAATTCTCCTGAATAATGTCTTTTAGCAATGATATAATCCTTGTTAAATTGTATTGTCTTTCTCTTTTATCTGGGAACTCTCTGACTAAGTCCAAAATACTTCAGGGTGTGGAGATTGCTCAGCTTCGTCTTTAAGCCTGAGGGAGAGGTAAAATAATTCAATTGTTCTATTGCAATTCCTTTGCCTCTTCCTGTCTCTTGACTCAAAGGGTCTTGAGAGGGAGAGAGGAAATTATGGGCTCTGTTGTTCATTGGATTTTTTCAAAGGTGATTTGAATGTATTTCAGGGATATTAGTGGTTTCTAGTTTTGGCTCTCTGCTTTCACCCAGCTTTCCTTGGTTCAGTTTCATAATCTCTAAAATGGGATATTATGCTCCTCTGATCGCCATAGAGCAGTGGTTCTCAACCTTCCTAATGCTGCGACCTTTTAATGCAGTTCCTCGTGTTGTGGTGACCCCCAACCATAAAATTATTTTCGTTGCTACTTCATAACTGTAATTTTGCTACTGTTATGAATCGTCATGTAAATATCTGATGGTTTTAGGCGACCCTTGTGAAAGGGTCGTTTGACCCCCAAAGGGGTCGCGACCCACAGGTTGAGAACCGCTGCCATAGAGTATTGTTCTGAGGAGCAGATGAGATAATGGCTAGGAAAGTGCTTTCCACTATACAAATTGCCACCAGCACTCAGGTTATACATTTGTGTAGCGAACAAGGTTATATTTATCCATATGATAGCAAGTGATTTTATAAAAAATGAGAAACTTCTCAAATAAAGTAATATGAAAATATGATAAATTTTTACTTTGCTAAAGCAAATGTATGTATTTCAAAATAAGGACGCCATTAACTGGATGCATACAGGGAATAATTGTTGGGTTTTATCGGGGTTTTGGTTCTATTTCAATTTCTTGCTTGGGAGAGTAGTGGGATGCCATTAAGAGGATTTTAAACTTTAAATGAAAGAAAAAGAATCTAGTAAGCTTTAAAGAAGCGGATTCATCCTACCTCACACCTTTCTTACTAATATAGGTCATACAGTATCAGGAAGGGCACTGTTTGTGGCTGTTTATAGAGTTGAAAAGAGGAAAGGAAGCAGAGGATGGAAGCTTTGTTAAGGTGAACCCCCACCTGCCTGGAAAATGAAAAATAACCTCCTATGGGCAAGCCTTAGCATCCCTGAAACAGATCTGGATCTTAAGTGATGGTTGCCAAGGGGACAGTCTAACAGATGAAAGGGATCAGCACAGTGTCTCAGGAAGAGACAAGTACCTCATAGATCTATAAGGAGGCCAGGTGGGAAAGTTGGCTGATACAAAGGCATGGGATGCCAGGCGTGGTTGACTGGGACGGGCAGGGTAGCCAGGAGGAACATGGTAGTATGGGCCAGGGGAGAAAACTGCATTGTCTTCACCTTCAATACACTGCCACTCTCCACTAGCGTCAAACAAGACCAGGAATTTATTCCAATTGATGGTACAAACACCCATTATCTGAAAAACAGAAATTGTTATTATCTAAACATTTGGTTCTCAGGTAAATGCAAAATTTAGATGTTTGAAAAAAATAAAGTTTTTTTTTTAAAAAAAGCTAATTTATGTTAAGAAATACAGGTAAGTGCAGGTATTATCGTCCACATTGCGGGGAAGGGGTGGGTCTTGCATATTTAGTGCCTCAACGTGTATTAGTAGGATGAATTTCTTCAGCTGACCCCTAAACGCCTCTTACTCTGTAAGTACTTCATGGTTGTGGGAAGGGCTGTCTGGGCTGGGAGAAATGAACTGGGTGTTGAACACAGAGCCTGATGGATTCACCGTAGACACCTAAGGGACAATGGCGTCTCACCATGACTGGGTGCTGGTTGAATGAAGTTGTAAAGTTGGACACACCAAGTTTGTCGTTAAGGAAGGGCTGGGAAAAACTTGAGCACCAGTTAGAATGTTTTGGGTAGAAATTAAAAGCTGCCTGGAGTCCATTTCCCCTTTGATTCTTGTATGCGCCCTGACTAGGGTAGCCTACTCCTGGGAAGTCCGGTTTAGGAGGATCCACCCAGCGGTGTGCAGGTGTTATTCCCGTCGATAGGATAGGCCGGCCAGATTTCTCTCCACCTTCAGACTGAGAGAGCAGCCACGCTCTCCTGCGGGGCCTCGCCTGGCTCCGCCTTTGCCTGGCTCCCCAGTCTCTCCTCCCTCGAGGCAGAAGGGATTCCCGGCGCCAGCTGCCACCCCGAGCCCCGCGGAGCAGCGGACTCCTCCCCTGGAAACTCCTCCGGGGCTGGGGGAG